ATGGGGTCGCGAAGAGTCGGACAGGACTGAGAGACTAAACCACAGCAACTTTCATAAAGACTTAATGTAACTGCTAGTTGATGATCTTTGTTACGAGAAACAAAGTTCCCGCCTTACTGGAAAAGGTAAAAAGAAACCACTCAAAATCTGAATGTTCACTAATGTGAGGACTGCAGGAAAAAATTCCCTTCAAAAGAACCATGATGCTCCTTCAGTCACTGTAGGCAAAGACTTCAGAATCGGCTGACTGCTACTGGGGATTGCCAAAAAAGGACAGGAAGAGCTTCCAGACATCACGGTCCTCTCTGCGGTGGTGACAGTCCTGAGCAGGGACCTTAGCCCAGCTCCTGGGTTGTCCCAGAACAAGCAGATGCTGCTATTTTGCCTTCTTCATGCCTCTTTCTTCCACGTAAGATGGCAGGTGCCCACCCAGAGGAAGATGCTATTTCTGTTCCTAAGCCCCTTCCCAGAACCACATGTCCAGACAGAAACCATCCTACAAACTGACAGCTGAAGACCAGAGTCCAAGCTGGGTATAGATTACACACCCAAGAACCAGCTGAGGTCCTGCTCCCCAGCTGGCGGGCCCCTAGCAGGCCACCTCACCCTGGCCCAGATGCAGGTTCTCTTGCTGAGAGCACGCACCAGCCCAAGGTGGACAGCTGGGCTGTGGAGGAGCCCAATCTTGGTGTCCAGGCTTGAGGCGGGCCACAGGGAAGCTCCCCCTGCAGAGACAGGGGGATGGCCAGCTGGCTTGAAGCCGTCCTTTGTTTTCAAGACTTACCTTTTATCTCAGCAACAATTTCAACTGCTGATAAAAACTCATCATTAGTTCAAATGGTTGATTTGTCTTTAAACAGCTCTTTAAAAATCTGAGCGCCGCTGTTGAGTGTATACTATCAAGATTTTACTTGGTTTCTATAACCTTGGTGACATTGATCTGCGTGTGATTCTACGCAGGTCCCTAGCAGAGGAAGAAAACAGCTGTTTAATAGGTAACACAGGACAAAAACAGCAACATAGCAGCAACAAAACTGACAGAAAGCAGGAAAATCTTCACTTCCAGTCTATATTTAAACAATATAGAGGGTGAAACACATACAAGAGGTTCTTACCCTTTTGCAAATAAATATAGAAAGAAAGAGAGAGGCAAAAAGGCTGGAGAGGGATTCCTGGATGGTGCAGTGGACAAGAATCCACCTATCAGTGTAGGAGACATGGGTTCAGTCCCTGATCCAGGAAGATCCCACACGCCACAGAGCGACTAAGCCCGCATACCATAACTATTGAGTCCGCGCTCTGGAGCCCAAGAGTCTCAACTACTGAGCTGATGTGCTTCAGCTCCTGAAGTCTCTGCCCCTACAGCCTGTGTTCTGCAATAAGAGAAGCCGCCACAGTAAGAAGCCCCCGCACCACAACTGGGGGGTTGCCCCAACACTGCAAGAAGAGAAAGCCCCTGACAAGGGCTGCAAAGACCCAGCACAGCCCCAAATAAACAAGCCAATACAATGATTTTAAAAATATGGCTGGAGAATCTGCTCACTAGGCTTTCTCTTACTATCTTTTATGCTACTTTCACACTCTTTAGGAAATTCAAGAAAAACTTCCATAGCAGATGAACATACTAATATGCAAAAACAATGCTGCTGACTAATTAAAAAAAAAAAAAAGCAAACATAAAATGGAGTTGTAAGCAGAATGCATTGGGGCCATAACTTGAGATGACTCTGGAGATAAGACTAAAGCAATATTTTGTCACTTAAAAGCCCTGATGGATTCTCTTAATCAATGCTTGAACTACTCTTATAAATACTGGAAAACAGTGAGACAGCTACCAAAGTCCTCTGAGCCAAGTGTTCCCCACCCAAAATCAATGCCCAAACTCTCTGAAGTCTCGTTTAGCGATTATAGTACCAGGCAGCCAAGATATCTTATCACAGAGAATTTGTTCATTCAAAACCATTATCAAGCAACATTTTGCCTATTGGGCGGTTAACAACGTTTCCTTTCATCCAGAAAATAAAGATTTTACATGAAAACCAAACCCAGCACAGGAGATGCATGTATATATATGCCTATATCTTTGAGGGGTAAAGGTGTATTAGCCAAAACTATCTATACTGAATATCAAGCCAAACAGCAATCATTGGGAAATGTCAAATCTGGGCAATCAGCTTGACAGTGCAAATATAAGACAAGCCTCAATTTAGCTTGTAAGACTCCAGTAACTCTCTTGGACCCCTCAATTTTGGCAGCCACCCTCCCCAGTCTTTCTGGGCTGTCTCCATGGACTGATGAGCGCAGAAAGAAAACCCTAGTGCCCTGCCTCTCTCAGCTGTTAGGCATATTCTGCCCTCAGTCGACAACAATTGAGCGAGCCCCCTGTTCCTCTGAAGTATCCTATGATTTCAGTCTACATGAGCTTGTCCCTGAAAACATCTATGAAATGGCCATAGGGCTCAGCTTGGGCACACAATTAGAAAGCACGTGGAGTGGCTGGCTTCCTTTTCTTTTTTTAAAAATTTATTTATTTTAATTGGAGGCTAATTACTTTACAATATTGTGGTGGATTTGCCATACATTGACATGAATCTGGCTTCCTTTTCTACACACGCTTGTCTTGAGCTTCCTTTTCTATATATACTCGTCCTGAGTTTCTTTAGCACTGCACCTCTGATCCACAGTCCACTCTTCCTTGCCCGTTATATCCACAGACTCACAGAAAGGCATAAGCTGAAAAGTCCTATCCACATGACCCTGCCTGAGTGCCACTTAAACTTGATAAGAGGTGTTAACCTTTTAAAGCCCAGGCAGGCAGGCAGATCTGGGTTCAGATCCTGCTTCTGGCACACTGTTTCTGTAGACTCTGTCCTCATTTGTTAAACAGATAATAACTGCCTCATAAAACTGTTGTAATGATCAGATGAAATATTAAAATTCTTAAATTTAGAATTTCTATTTTCTTGGTCCCAGTTAAGACCTAATAGTTTGGGCTGAATTTTTGTAGTACATTATATTTCAAGCCCTACTGTTTTTTTTTGTTGTTGTTGCTGTTGTTGTTTTTTAATTTTATGGTCCCTAGTTCAGTGTATGGCACCTTTTGAGAGAGCCATAAACCAAACATGTGAAAGAAGGCATTAAATCCCTATTACCACTACCTATTCCAGCTAACTTAGTGTTCTTTAGTTTGCCCAAGATCAATCATTTCCTAAACTGTGCCTTCTCAAGACAAATACATCTATCAAACCACACCCTCTCCCCACATACATACAACACATACACATAGAACTCCCAGCTGAAAAAAACACTGCCTCTAGCCCCAACTTTTAGAATAAAGTTATCATATTTACCAGAATACTTGGGCAAACTGTGATAGATGGAGGGACAGGATTTGGAAGAATTTAAAAAAAAAAAATCTCTTTAGAACATACTTAGGATTTGTGGCATCAAATCCTTAAAGGAGAACTACTTGCCTATAGCAAATCCTGGCAGCAAGTAAACCAGAAACTCACTGGTGAGTTGTGGGCGAAGTTAAATATTGCACTTCACTCCGTTCTATGCAAGCAAACAGTGACTAACAGGGTTACCTCGAGCTTTCGCATTGGGTGTAGAAATCCTTCCACAAGAAATAGGGTCCATTATTAGGCTCCCCCGTTAGCAAATTTATATTTAAGGGGGCACACATTGTGCTTTTGAGACATACTTTTCTAGACAAATATTTGCTCCATAAGCCAGGGCAAAGGTGTCATTTCTTTCCTCTGCAGGGGGCAGCGACAGAAGAATCAATGGGGGAGAAGGGGATAAGATCCCTGACTCCCCAAAGAGGACACAGACTTCCGCTGAAGTAACGTTGGTTCTTTCAAGGAATATTTCCCCTAACGGCTAAAACGGTTTAACACATAATCAGCATCTTGTATCAATTACACAAATACCACGAAGCAACTCTGGTGGCCTGGGAAAGGACCAAAACACGCAGAACTCCTAACTGGCCTCGGCTGTCCCCTCCCACGGGGTTTGACAGCGTGTCCAAGGCGCCCGAACACCAGCCATCAGGCTCCCCCCAGCGCCCTCCTCTCGCAGCAAACTGCCAAGGCTCTCGGGCCAAACTCCAACGTCCCTCGATTCAAAACCGAAAAAGTGTGAACCCCGCTAAGCAAACGGTAGGGCGCGTAAGAACTTTTTTTTTTTCTTTTCCGTGGAGCGGATTGGAGATGCTCGGCTCTAACGCCAACTTCCCAGGTCTCCCGTCCGCTTTCCGCAACCATCCCGTGGGGAAGGAGGGAGGGAGAGCGGACCAAAGAGAGGGCTGGTGAGTTTTAATACCTCCGTGGTTTTCCCAGTGCGGGAAATTGACTACACAGCAGCCCCTGAGAATTCGGTGCAGGTCTAAAGAAAGGAGAATGCTCTCCCCCTCGCCCCTGCTAAAAGGAACAATAAAAGCACGCAGCAGGCGCTCAGCTGGCCATACCAGGCCTTCCTAAGGGCCGATGGAGAAAGAGATTTCTCCAGTCTGCAATCCGGAGAAAGAAAGATGCCTGGCCAAGCGGAGGCCCGGGCATGAGTGTCCAGCCTGGGTCCCCAGCCTGCCGGGGAAGGGGCCTACAGAGAAGGGATGGCGACTATAGAGGAGCAGTCAGCACGCGAGCCGCCCGGGGAGGGTAACGGCGGCCGAGCTCTACTTACATAACGCTTCAACTTTTTCTCCGGAGGGGACTTGCGGAGCCATCCCGAGCAGACCACTTCGCCGCCGCTCATGGTGCGCGCCTTTCGGGCTCCGGGCCCGGCGCGCTCCCGACACCTTCGACGCCGGACGGCCGTGCAGCGGCTGGGACCTTGCTCTCCCGCGGCGCACCCCAGGCGGACGGGGCGGACCGGCTCCGCGGCGCTCTGGCTCTTGGCGTTCGAGTTTCTTCCCCGCAGGCAGGTCCGCGGACGTGAGTAGAAGCGGGCAGAGCCGCCGAGGCCGACACCTCGGGGCAGGGGCCGCGGCCGGGCCGAAGATGCCCAGGCCTCCCTTCAGTGCGCCCGCCCGGCCGCCAGGCGCGCCGTCCCGCCGGCCGCCTCCTCTGCGCTCGGGCTCCACGGGACTCTGCCCCGGCGCGGAGCCCGAGCCTCGGCCCCCTGCGCTCCGCCCCCTCGGGACGGGACCTCCCAGAGCGCACTCCGAGACAGACACGACGCTGCACGCGCGCACACACACAGTCTCACACGCTCATACACACACAATGCCCCCGCGCAGTGCCCACTCCGACTGGCCGGCTCTAGGTTTCGCTGCGCTTGGCGCTATCCCCTCCTTCCTCCTTCTGGAGGGAGGGTGGGTCACTTCCCCGAGGCGCCCGGACCGCAGCGAGGAAAGGGAAAGCCGCGAGGGTCCCGTGGTCAGCGGGCGCAGGGCTGGTCCCGGGCCACGGAGGGAGCCGCCGGCTCGGCGTCGCTGGGCAGGGCGCAAGTCCCGCCGAAGGGTGGGTCCGCGCTGGCCGCCGCCGCGGGAGAAGGAAAGCAGAGGACGGCAGAAGAACGAGGCGCTGAGCTGCTCGGCTGTGGGGACCAAGCCCACCGTCCCGTTCCCTAGCGCTGCTCCTGCGCCGCCTCCCCCACCCCAGGGCGGGCGGCAGGTTCTGGGCGGCCCGGCCCCCGGCCCCGATCCCTCCCTCTCCCGGCCTCCCGGCTCCCTCTTCCTCTCTTTCCTCCTCCCCTTCCCACGTTCGGGCCGGCTCCGGTTTCTGCCCAGACTTTCTCTGAAACTCCGCCGGAGCGCTTCCAGCCAAAACAACAAGGGCCAGGGAGGAGGAGACGCGCGGAGGGAGGGAGCGAGGGAGGGAGGGCGCGGGAGTCACAGAGGCACCCTGGGATCTGTAGTTCGGGACGCTGGAGAGGGGTCCTCGGCCCCCCGGCGGCCGGGCATCCCGGAGCCCCCGGCGGGCTGGTCGCCGAGGAAGGCGGCGAGGCCTCGCCCAGGGTAACGCCGCGCCATCTCGGGTTCCCGGGCGACCGAGGCACATTGGAACGTTCAAGTCTGTGGATTGCCATCTTGGCTCAGCCGAGTGTCAGTTCGGAGTTTGTTCTGTGCGGGAGATCGGGAGTTGGGGGCGGGTACTTGACAGCGTGGAAAGCGAAACAGCCTGGAGGAGGACCGCGCGCCCTGGAGAGTCTGCGATCCCGGGGTTTCTGCCCGCAAGACTGAAGGGCAGACACCCGGAGGGCGAGGTCGCTGGGAGCGCGCCAAGGCGACCAGCCTGCAGGGGCGGTGGAAGGGGACCCTCCCGGGCTGGTGTGTGCTGGACCCCGGAGCAGCCTTGCCTGAGTGGTGGGAGCGCTTAGTGGACCCAAAGGATTCAGTTGGATCTATCTCTGGGGCATTTTGAAGTCTTACACTCCCTCCGTTTGTTGCCAGTTTCTTCCATTTGCCTTGGCTTTTATTTAAAATCAACCCTTGGGGTGTTGGACCAGAAAAGGGAAACTTACTGGATGTCCTAATTCTATTTGTTTTCTTGCGTGTGTTTTACAATGGCTATGATACCTGGTCCTGAGATTAACACGATCCTGTAAGAGAAATATCTTTTCCAATGTATTTATGAGAAACAAAGCCCCCAGACAGATGTTGGAACGTGATGTAAATAATCAGATAAAAGTGCCAAACGTTTCTGGAAAAAATAACCTCAGGCGTGTTCTCGTTAATACAACATTCATATTCTGGAGTTCCTCTTGAGTTTGAAAATGTTATACAATTGTAGTAAGAAGTTAGGTGCTGGGGTGGTGACAAATAAAGGTCCCTGCTCTAAGAGCAGTGACATTTCTGTGGTGGCATAAGACAGTTAACAGGGGTCAACCCAAGTACAGATTGTGATAAATGTGCCCTGGGAGAAATTGGAAGAATAATAAGGGTGGAACTAGGTCAGATACTAGGGGAGAAGTCTTCCTTAAAGAGGCAGCTAGCCAGAGATGTGAAAGATGTTGTAAAGATGTTGTCTTGTGAAAAGATCAAAGCGATAACCATAAGGAGGACTGAGAGAGAAAAAACAAGCCAGGAGGTCATTGTTTTTCTTAAATGTTAGAATACAAGTGAGTGTAATTTTTATGGCAGCTAATAAACCAAAGCAATTTTTATGTGAACTCGGATTTTACCACAAACCATCCATATGAAAATAAATCACTAAATTTGTTTTCCACTTCTACCACAAGCAGTGTGTCTGTGTACTGAGTCAAAGTATTTAAAATTAGCATTGCAGAGACTGGTCCTCTCTTTCATAGTTAACTGTTTGCTAGATAATCTACCACTCCTATTATTTTAAAGTTCATTTTTAAAAATTGAAGTATAGAGAAGGAAATGGCAATCTACTCCAGTATTCTTGCCTGGAAAATCCCATGGACAGAGGAGCCTGGCAGGCTACAGTCCACAGGGTTGCAAAAGAGTGGGACACAACTTAGCCTCTAAACAACAACAAAACAATTTAATTACAATGTTGTGTTAGTTTCAGGTGTATAGCACAGTGATTCAGTTATACATTTGTATGTGTGTGTATATATGTGTGTGTGTGTGTGTGTGTGTGTATTCATATTCTTTTTAATGAAAAGTTGTGATATAGTCATCCCTCTGTATCCTTGGGGAATTGGTTCCAGGACCCCTCCCATACCAAAATTTTTTGATGCTCAAGTCCCTTGTACAAAATGGTATAGTCTTTGCATGTAATCTAAACACATCTTTCCGTATACTTTAAATCATTTCTAGATTACTTATAAGACCTAATACAATGTACACGCTATGTAAATAGTTGCTATCATACAGCAAATTCAAGTGCTGCTTTTTGGAACTTTCTAGATTTTTTCCCAAATATTTCCTACCCAATGTTGGTTGAGGAACCCAAAGATCTAGAAGGTCAACTGTATGTATATTGTGTACTACCTTGGAGTGTTCCAATAATTTTTTCCATTATTTCAAATAAGGGATTGAATTAACTCATTTCCATGTAAGAAACCAAGGACTTCCCTGGTGGTCCAGTGGCTAAGACTCCTCATTCCCAATGCAGGGAGCCCCCGGGCTCAATCCCTGGTCAGGGAACTAGATCCAACATGCCTCAACTAAGAGCTGCAACTGAAAAGAGCCCGCATGCTGCAGCTGAGACCCAGCAGAGGCAAATATATATATATATATATATATATATATATTTAAGAAAAATAAATCATTAAGTATCTTCCCCTATCTTCATTTATGTTATTTCTAGATAGCAAATAAATGAGAAGAGGTTGAAGATAAATACATCTTCATATATGTGTGTTAAAAAGGAAATTGGCTTTATCTTTACATGATACGCCATTTTTAGATTCTTCTGTTAAATTGCATTTTACATCTTTATGTGTTAAAAGGTATGCTGGGGGAAAAAAAGTATGCTGGGGAAAAAAAAGTATGCTGGGAAACACTATTACACATCAGTGTCTTAAATATCATGCATACAACACATACTCATGGAATGTCTTTGTATGTACAAGCTCTTGAGGACCCAGGATACAAAGAGAGGTTACCAAACCTATTACCTCACCCCTTTGTCCTAGAGAAGAACATTTTGCTAGTAATCAGCACCTTAACTTCTACAATACAGTTGATAAATGCCGTGAATGAAAAGCCAAGAGTCTCAACGGGGCTCTACCCTCTAGGAGAAGGGTGAGTAGGGGGAAAGACTTCCCTGAGAAATGGACTTAACTCTGATCTTCAAGATGATTAGAAATGGCCTAGCCAAGCAGCAGAGAAGAGTATTCCAGACAGCAGAGAAGCTGTCAGATGCCCAGGTCTTCAGGCTGGAAGAAACACCTGAGAACCTGAAGGAAGGCAGCAGGGAGGCAAGTGAGAGGGACTTTGCACTGGGTGAGGGGACAGACGGCAGGAGACAGAGTGAGCCGATGCTTGGAGATGGTCTTAGGGTATAGATTTTTTCCTTGGAGCAAATGACAGTTATCACCTTCTGTGATCTTCAAATCGCCTTAGACCATCACCCCTTCATGGACTCTGTCTCACCTCCAGCAGCAGATTTCCCAATCACTCCATTTTCCAACTTGATCTTTCAAGTTCTTCCTCTATAATCTTCTCCAGCAGCTTTCTAGCCTGCTGATACCTCTGCTTTTCTGTGACCCACCAGACCCCTCCGTCTAACACTCACCCCCTTTTCCAGGTTGAATCTTGTCATCCACATAACATGTTGTCCAAATATCATGCTTCCAACCCACAAAACCCCAACCCTGGGTGAACCCGACTGTACTTCCTCTGACACCGAAACAGCCGAGCGTGGTTGGAGCAAGTTAAGCAACAGAATGAGCAATGTCACCATAAATTCAGATTCAGTGACCTCAAATAGATCCTCAGCTATCTGCAGGGGCAGATCTTTGTTTTCTGGAACCTGAAGCACATACAGTTTTGTTGTTGTTGTTTAGTCGCTAAGTTGTGTCCAACTCTTTGTGACTCTACAGGCTGTAGCCCGCCAGAAGACTGGAGTGGGTTGCCATTTCCTTCTCCAGAGGATCTTCCTGATTGTACCTGCTTCCCCAGCATTGGCAGGGGGATTCTTTACTGCTGAGACACCAGGGAGGTCCATATTCATTTTGAGGAGTCATTTTAAAGGGAAAGAATATACAATTACAAATAAAAATGTGAATATGAATCTAGAATGAGGAAATGAATGAGGAACAGATTACTGGAGCCTTGGAGATACAGCTGCCTTTCCTTTGAGATCTCTATGGTGATTTGGGCTTCCCAGGTGGCGCTAGTGGTAAAGAACCCTCCTGCCAATGCAGGAAACATGAAAACATGTCTCTTATGAGGATCTTCCAGATCCAGGGTTTGGGAAGATCCTCTGGAGGAGAAAATGGCAACCCACTCCAGTATTCTTGCCTGGAGAATCCCATGGGCAGAGGAACCTTGCTGGCTACAGTCCATAGGGCTGCAAAGAATCAGACACGACTGAAGCAACTTAGCACGCACACATACACGGTGATTTTCCCGTCCCCGGTAGCTCACTCTAGTATTCCTGGGCTTCCCTGGTGGCTCAGCTGGTAAAGAATCTGCCTGCAATGCAGGAGACCCTAGTTCGATTCCTGGGTTGGGAAGATTCCCTGGAGAAGGGAAAGCTACCCACTTGAGTATTCTGGCCTGGAGAGTTGCATGGACTGTATAGTCCATGGGGGTTTCCCTTGTGGCTCAGCTGGTAAAGAATCCGCCTGCAATGCAGGAGACCTGGGTTCAATCCCTGGGCTGGGAAGATGGCCTGGAGAAGGGAATGGCTACCCCTCTGTCCATGGGGTGGCAAAGAGTTGGACACACCTGAGTGACTTTCACTTTCACTTTATTAGTCAGTGGGGTCACCAAAGAGTCAGACAGGACTGAGCAACTTTCCGTTTCACTTATGTGGATGTGCCTCCTGAGTGCACCCTGAATTCCCCTCCCAACCCGGAGACGCTACCTCTTCCAGCAGCTCCCTACTCACAAGTGGGCCTGTGCAACAAGCTTCCTTGTCTTCATCCATGTCTCTGCTACTGGCAGTCCCACTCCTTCATCAGGACAGTGCACTCGACTCTACAAATTTTTCTTTCTTTCTTTTTTTTAAATAACAGCTTTATCAAGATAATAATTCACCTACCATAAAATTCACATTTTAAAAGTGTAGAATTCAGTGGTTTTTAGTATATTCACAAAATTCTTCAGCCTCACTATATACTTTCAGAATATTTCATCACCCCTAAAGGAAACCCTGTTCCCCCTCCCTCTGCACCCCTGACAACCACTAATCTTTCTGTTTCCGTGGATTTGCCTCTTTTGGACATTTCATATAAATGGAATCATACAGTAGGTGACCTTTTGTAACTGGTTTCTTTCACTCTGCATAATGTCCAGGCTTATCCATGTTGTAGTATGCATCAAGTACTTCATTGCTTTATAATGTTAAATAATATTCCATTATGTGGATGTATCACATTT